CGCAATGTTCTAGTCCTAATCTATCACAGTGCTTCGTCCGATAATGACATCGGTATTCCGTTCATTCTTATGAGTGAGGCGCCTGGCAGGCCACTGTCAAAATTTTGGAGACCAGCCGGTTCTCCCCAACCTGACCTAGAGACTCCTAGCAAAGCCAAAATTCTCTCCCAGTTAGGTGGTATTACCTGGAAGCTTTCGCAGTTGCGATTCGATAAAATAGGCTCACTCTTTGAAGACGAATTCTTCGAAATCAAGGAATGTCTCTCACGTGGTCACATGTTACATGGACGATATTCTTTGGAGATCCCACGAGGACCTTTCACTTCCGAGGCAAAATTCTATGACAGCCTTGTTTCTGCATTCTTAGAACATGCAGAAATTCTGCAGTTGTCACATCATTGCTTTGTGGCACCCGTTCCTTCGCGGGACGACTATCAATCCAGCATACAATATGAGAGCGCTGTGAACCTATGGAACGACTTTGTAGCCGTTGGAGGCAAGACCGACTCGTCGGACAACAGACTGGATTATATCATCGCAGGCGACGCTCTCCGCGACATTGTACGGAAACTTGAACTCCCAACTGTCAATTCGGAGACTTTTCCGTTATGCCACCCTGATCTGAGTGTCAATAACATATATGTTGATGATGATTATAACATCACCTGTATCATCGACTGGGCATTCGCTTCATCCATTCCTGAATCAATGCTTTTAACCACACCAGGATTGCCACAATATCGTGACGAAATCAGTTCGGAGTTATATATACCTTTTATAGATGGCTTCATCTCTGCTATGCCTGAATCGATGGAAGAGAGGTCGATCCACAGATATCACGATTCCCTGGAGCGGAGCCAAGTCTCCTGGAAATTGAGCCGGCTTCTCAACCTGGACTCGATTAGTGATTACACTCTCTTTGCTACAGTCTGGCACTTTGCCCGTGGGCCTGAACAGGACCTGGGCAATTACTTCTTACGACAGTGGAGTTCGCCTCACTACATCCGGCTTTATACCGAAGTTCAACAGGAGGATCAGCCACTTTCGAAAATTCAAAAGGATGAAAAAGATTATTTTCGAAACAAGGATTTCAGAGAGACAATAGCCAAGAAGCTGACACTCATGTCCGAATGGAAAACACGGTTTACCGTCAATCATCCGCCGAGACTTCGGAAAGACATGTTTGTCGCTTCTCCCAAGTTATGGAAGTGGATTCAACAATTTGTGCAGGACTGGGAAGACATGTCTTGACGAGTCTACACCAGGCATCAACATCACATCAACATCTCAAGCGAATGCGCTCAACTGGAACCTCCCACAGATCACCGGTCTCATCATCTTTCACCTTCTAAAAATTAGATTGCACATCAAACATTGTTTGGGGGATATACCGTTTGCAATATGGTGCTTGATGTACTTGAATCAATTGTGCCTTCGCGCCATTCAGTCTCTGCGATAGCTTAGTTGATATCTCACTTTAGACCCAAGATGTCAATGTGACCTACTACCCTCACGACAGTACCAGACTGCGGCACCAGCGGTATAGTATGCTCTCTTTTCCGCACCAGTTGGTGGAGTTGGAAGATCTGGTGGGGTCGATGGCTGGGGACGTTTCTTAGGCATGGTGTTCAAATGATGTTATATTCTTTTCGACGTTGGTGGGCTTTTATTACGACTAGGTTCCAGCTCCCAGGAGTAAGGCGCTACATTTATATTCTCGTTTTTTCGCACTGGCCTCTCACAAAATTTCCTCCACATAATATGGGCGCTTAACGCCGAGGCCACCCATCAGGTAGTTGGCGGCACCCGAGAAAATTGACACCATACAGTAGCAAGGATGTGGCAGTGTCGCTTTCGGGTGAATAACCAGGTGTTATTGACGCTTCGATTAGATCCACCCCCACTTACGTCCAGGCTTTCCACGAAAGCATTGGCTAGTTCGACAAGGTTTTCTATCTCTAATTTACGCTAGCGAGTGTTTGTGATAGAGCGACATTAGCTCGTGGCGCAATCTTTGCGATGAGCCAGGATAAATGCAGAAGGCTTGAATGGGAAACTATTCGGGCTGATTAGAGCTGTCATGCGCTGGCCCCAAAATTCGCCCCAGACAAGTTCCAGAGGGATTCATTTCCAATGCAGGCGGATGTATGAAGTGTGGTACATAGTGTAGTGGTGGAACCCGTGACAGTAGCCTGAGGTATCGCACATGCCTTAGGAAGCTTGCATGCAGTCTTTTCTTAGAAACCGGCATCATCCTACCATCCTCAATATGACTACAGTTTTCCACCAAATTTATCTTTCATGATATAGCTTTAATACTAGCGCGATAGTCACCTACACATAAGAGTGATTGGCTGTGCTGTCTCCATTGACATCGAGCTGTTTGCTATGCCAGACTGCCATAGTGTCATGGGTTCGTTGTCATAATATAGCAAATGAGAAGCGATGCTTCCGTCTGATGGGGTGATCTGATCTGCCAATTGGATTGTGGAGAATGCCTAGGGAGTGGGTCTCCTAGCTGGGTTCTTTGTTTTGGAAGACTCTATCTTTAGCAAACAAGAGAACTGCGAGCAAGGATGTATTAGGAGAACAAATAGAACTTGAGTGGTTCGCCTGAGTCCCTAGGCCTTACAGTACTGATTTCCCTAAATTCCTTATTTCCGGAGCCTTTCTCTCAGATCTAAACCTCTATCCGGAAAGCGCCTGCCACTCATCTAATCCCGTAATGTCGAAGAATAGTAATCTGCCCGAGCTCTTGCCTAGAGAAAAGGGATCGAGTATATAGTATCTAGAAACAGACTCGTCGATAAAACAGTACCGGCGAGTTTCTCTGGCCTATACCGAGTGTCAGAAAAGAAATTCCAAGGTTAGAAAGATTATTCCTCTATTCGAGGATAGACCTAACCTAGTGTAGTACTCTGGTAGGACCCTATACAGAATATATACGATAGAAGCTCGCTAATACTTTTATAATCCAGCCAGTGATCAGAGACGTAAGGCTTATACCGCTGATTTATTAAAGCTTCGCGTCGCCCTTTACCGAATAGCTGTAAAGCTGCGCTCCGGAACGCTAGATAAGATATCACGGTTGATCCAGGGGATCCGAAACCTATTATTAGATCAAGATACAGTCAATCATATTGCTGACGCATTCTTATTAGATGAAAACCTAGAAATCTATTAAAGGGACTACTAGATGTAGGTTAAGGTACTTCTAAAACTAAGGGAAGGGAAGCAGTGTAACTTGAAACTAGGTTAATATTGCTTAAGTATTAATAAATTAGATATAATTTCCGATCAGACAATCACTCACAGAGTCTTTCTAGTAGGATAAGCCAGCTATTACAAGTTAAGAAAAGATAGGGTACTGACTACTAGCGTCTGGCTCTAATAATAAGACTGTGTAGCTCTGGGACCTAGTGACAGGTGGGCTTAAATAAACTTAGAGTGTCAAAGTATATTTAAATAAGGATAAACCTAGAGGAGATATCATATTTGATCCAGGGGATTCACAACCTGCCAACAGATCAAGATATAGTAAACCTTCTTGTTGACGGATACATATTACATGAAAACTTGGAAATTCATTAGAATACAAAACTAGTTGCAGGACAAGCCACATCTAACATCGAGGGAAAGGAAGCATTGCAGTTCAAAACTGGGTCAATGTTATTTAATTATTAACGAATTACATATCATTTCACTCACAGAAAGTTCATCCATTTTACAACCCGGTTGACCTTCATAAATAATTGTAGGACCAGAAATCACCCCCATTCAATGAAGGGCAGCTGAGTCCCTCATTTTGCGCAATATAAGCTCAAGGTAGTTCACCTTTCGAGTCCGCAGACGAAGAGCTTGGACGATAGTCACTACTTTGACGTCCACGTTTACTTTCTCTTTTCCTCTCGATAGATCCCTCGTCTTCCGAGCTTAGTTGTTCAGGGGGAGTTTGAGGTCGACGCCGCTTTAAAGCGCCTGGTCGTATTCGATTGATTGAGCCTTGCTGTTGCGTCTGTGCTTGCTGCCGTGCTTCAGCGCTTGAGAGAAAATCACAAAGCTGCTTCGATGTAATGAGAATCTCACGGTCAAGGCCTACATGCCCTCGTGCGAGTTCCTCCGTTGCGAAGTCCTTAAGCGATAGTCGTAGCACTGTTCCTTCGGTTGGAAGTCCCGAGTCTGTCCGAAAGGGCTGTTTAATAATTAGTACCAAGTATTAGATGTCTTACCTGGAACGGATCGTACCTGTGCTTCTATAACTGCGTTCACCCGAAACTCCTCCATACCATCTACTATTGCATATTCCGGTCGCCATACGGTAATTGTCGCTCTATAAGAGCCTTCGTAATCGATATCCAAGGCGACCACCGCGTTCACACTCCCATCAGTATTTAAAATATACTCATCCGCCAGGTGGGAGATACGCCTGCTCTTTTGTGAATAGCATACCTCCACGATTACACCGGGGTAAAGCGCCTGACGATGTCCGAACGACGCATCGGGTTCTCGTCTAGAATAAGTTTGTTTACCATCCTCTGTGTCTTCGGGTATTAAGATCCGGGATGTGGCAAAATGCTCGACCTGCTTGGCGAAATTGGCGAGAGGTCCGTCGTTCTTCTGGAATTGCCTCAATTGTCTTGATATTTCATCGACTATTCTTGCGCAAAATGTATCATGGACAGGACTTGGCATTCGGATTATCAGGCAGTCGCGGCAGGGATCGTAATCGTATCTGTATTGATTCCACTTGAGCACACGCGCTATTCAATATCGAGAAGAATTGGGGTACTCACCGTACTTTGTCTTCAACGTAATTTCGAAGGGATTCGTCAGTATCAAGCACACGCAAGATCTGTGTATAGTCGTCTGGTTTGAGTCGACCCTCCCACCAAAATCTTGGCCGGACACTCGCACGATGGAGACGAAAATGATTCACCACGCTTTGGGCACTTCTCGACAAGGGTTTCTGCACCGTAGGCGGTGGTGTAAGAGGGGGATCCAGGAAACTTCCTGGTGGGGTGATGCCAGCTGCCATGGGATATTAACTAAAAAGTTCAGATTGGAATAATGGGGGTAGTTTGTTTATGCCGCAACGAGAGGGGATGAACTAAATGATCACGTGATAAAGACAACCAAATGATTGGCCAGCTTTTATATGTAGTCAATAGTTGGGTGGGTCCCAGCGCCACTTTAGCGTCGCGCGACTGGGTGAGAAGCTGGGTGATAACCATCCTAGGTATCCCGCACTGACCTCCTCACGTGAGATAGAGTGCGATATGATTTGATTACAAGTTGAACTTGAAACGCTTCAACCCTTGGCATTTGCACGCAGCCCTAAATTTAGATACAACATATATATCTTCAGTTCAATTCGATGTTATGGTTGTTGCCTTGTGTGTTATAGACTCGCCACAGCCCTTCTGATATGTCCATGCTGACACATACATCCCAGTGCAAACATTAGATCAATAAAATCAATGAAACACATATTCTTACAGTCCGAGCTCATCTTTGTTGTCACAAGGTGTAAGCTAATTGGCCCTAGGTCTAGTAATCCACATAGGTTAGCTTGATAGTGTTCCGAAAATTATCCCTTAAAAATTAGCTTGTGACTACATTCTATATGATGGAAGGTAAATCTGAGAATTTTCGGCATGCCTAGCTTAAGCTCAAGCGTCCGCTGTGCCTGTTTTCCTCGGTACAATCGACATGGCAAAAACTTATTTTCTCCATGGGGCTGGAGAGATTCGTCACATGCTCGTCATGGGCTGGGAGGTAGCACAGCAATGATGGAGCTGACGCCGGGACTTATCAATCATATTCAGCACGCTATCCCGGTATTATTATAGAGGTATACTATTCACAAAAAAGTCAACGCATTTCACACTTGGCGGACGAGTATATCCTCGAGTGGGGGTCTTTTTGAAAATCAGATACTAACGGTTTTAGCTATTTCGGACGGAGTCTGGACTTCCAGCTGAGGCAGCAGCGCTCCGGTTGTCATTAAGGGACTTCGCGATGGAGGACCTCTGGCGAGAGCGTATGAGGTTCGACCGAGAACTCTTAATAACATCGAGATAGTTAAGTGACTTTCTCTCGCGCGCCGAAGAAGAACAGCGGGTGCAGACACTTCAGCAAGGCTCTATCCATCGACTCCGACCGGGCGTGGGAAAGCGTCGTCGGCCTCAAACTCCCCGGAGCAGCTACGTTCGGAAGAGGAGGGATCAGTCTAGAAGAAAAGAGAAAGTAAACGCCTGTTTGTCTGAATAATTTATGTTTTCCGTGGGGAGCTCAAATTTCTCCTTCATAACCCTAATGACTAGTCTGATGATAATCCCTACTGCTAGTTTCCTCTGTTTCCACTGCTTGCCAGGCATAGTATAGCTCACCACATATTAAGGAACTCACTTCTTTTCCCCGAGAGATTTCGTATTTATACACCACGAGTTGGCTGTCAGAACATGGAGATAAGGCGGAAGAAACCTTAACACCACTCGGGACGAGATCGATATGGTCACAAACAGCCATGAGACGGAAGGGAGTGATCCGCCTCGCGACAGGTCCTATCATGATCTGGTTTCTCTGCCAATACCTGGGAACGCCAGAGTATAGTATGTTGCACGTGATATGATGACAGATCATTCGGTTGGCTCTCGATGGCCCATTGGTGCAGTTATGGGTCACAACTGATTGGTGACGGGTATGTCCGTAATACTGTATACACATGCATTTGAACTCTGTAAACTGTATGAGTGTCAACCTTCGGCGTGGCTAAAGACGAGTAGTCAAGATTGGTGTCCTAGCGTGGCTCGGGTAATCCCAGCTTCACAGACTTAGTGGGGCTCAGGTTGGGACTCAAAGGCAAACACGTGCACGGCTCAAAATATGCCACCGATTTACCCCTCCCCCGCCACCAGACAGATGCACTGGATTTCTGAATTATTTGACGGAAATCACCGGTACAGCAATGTATGGTCAAAATGACAGATGTGTATTACTCTAACTAACTAAAATGACAAGAATCCCCTATTTGACAATCTGCTGGGGCATAACTGACTAAGCTTAATATGCAATTTGTATGGGG